AACTGCTGTTGGTTGAAATCACTCCCAACTAGTCCTGCTGCTCATTCTCACATGTAAGTGATACTAATTTGGCTGTTTTGGTCAAAGTTGATGTATTTGACTCATTTGTTCACACTCACCCTGTGAGAAACCCTCATTCCTATACAGAGCCATTACACTACTATCTGCAGCATAAAGGCAGTAGTCATAAAGCAATTTTAACTCAATTTACTTTAAGGATCAAAGTTATCCAAATGTTTTGCCTGCTGTCGAGCTGAAACTTCAAGAAAGACTAAATCAAGCATTCAGGTGCTGCAGGTGATGAAGAACTGCTTACAAAAATTAAATTGTTGCCTAACACCACGGAGGTCCAAGACATAGGATTAAAAAAACTGATTATTAATAGAAAATAGCTCTATCAGCAGTTGTCAGAGCTCGAACCACTGATGCACACTCAGAAAGCCCCAAGATGCACACTGGCAGGAGCCAGGCCATGCTGGAGGAAGTATCACATTGCACATTCATTGTTCCTGCATCCCTCAAAGCAGCTGCTCTGGCTGGGCAGGGTGCCAGCTGCAGCTTTGACCTGACCTGGTGTGGCATTTAGGAGCTCTCAGTACCAAGAAAACCCAGTAGTAGAAAATCCAGATGACTTTCAAGCATTTCTAAGAAAAGAAGCACCCTGTACTAAGAAAGTACAGCTTCAGTCCCTGAGTTATTTGACTGTTTAAAGACCCTTAGAACTCTTCATTGTGTTATCAGTCTAATGTTAATTAATGCATGAGATGCCCCAGGATTCAATAGTTGAAACTATTACTGATGTGGATAAAGCCAGGTATGTGGTGTTAACTATTTAAACAGACCAAGCACCACTTCACAGAAAACACAAGCAGTTTGGGATTGTAAAGCATGCTACCAGGATTATTACTTTCTGGAACCTCGTGCCACCACACTGGGGGAGGAGTAACACAAGAATGTTGAACACCAGAAAGACTTCAAACCACAGCGTGTTGTTTGATCTAAAACAATTAAATCTCACTGTCACAGTAAAACTTGCTTACACACCAAAAAACACGTGCAACCTCTTGGCTGCTCTTGCCTTGTCGCACCTCAGGATCAACTGACATAACTCACGAAGCAGAACGCTGGAAAAAGCTCAGCAGTTTCCACTTCAGCAAAGCAACATTTCTGTGCTCAAGCTGCAGTTCGCAGTGTGAACACCACCCTGATTCACTCTGTGGCAGCCTCAGACAGAGCGGGTTTGCTGCAGGGGAGCCCAGAGAGGCTCGGGCCACACTCAGCACCTCACACAGCAGGTGACAGTGCCTGCTGCCAGGGAGGGGCTGGCACTGCGCACTGCAGCCAGCCTCTCGTCTCATTCCTCTCTCTGGTCTGCTTGTGAAGCTGCTCACTGCAGCCAGCCCCTCGTCTCATTTCTCTCTGGTCTGCTTGTGAAGCTGCTCACTGCAGCCAGCCTCTCGTCTCATTCCTCTCTCTGGTCTGCTTGTGCACAAACGCTCACAGGGCACAGACACCGCGCTCTGCTGTGTGCAACTCCTACAGCTCTGCCTGCACACAACACTGAATGGACAAAGTAACTCTGTGCCTTCGGGGGCTGCAAACAGCTAATGCTTTTGTTATCTTTTCCTACAGTCTTTTCCACTTGTTTTTACAGCTGTCTTCATGTCCTAGAAGGTCTGATGTTTCACAGGTTTGAATTTGCAGCTTCTAGTGCAGAAAAAGATCCTTCCCAAATTTAGCACTAGGTGAGAGCTAAGCAGGCCTGTACAGCAATCTGCCTGAACGCTTCCATCTCTTTCTGCATACGTGAATCACTCACTTTACTGGATATTAATGGAGCATTTTCCATGAGAATTGAAAGTATGGCATATTCCTTCCCAAGAGAGCATGAAAACCTAAACCAGAGGGGGAGTGCAGTGAAGTGTGAAGGTCTGTGGAAGAATAATACAAAGTCAAAGTACATAGAAATAAACAGTTTATGGTATTCAGGGCTGCCCAACTTCTTTACCTCTTCTGAATAAAGGTGGAAATCAGAATATTAAAGATGCAACAGTGGAAGGAGCAAGCCAGGAACAAGGACAGAAATTAAGAACAGGCATGGATAAATTAATAATCTGAATTTTCTCATCAATGAAATCTGAATTTTAAAAGCAATGACAATGGAAACTTTACTGTCAGAATTAGACTTTTGATTTTCTAGCCCTAATATTTATCAAATTAAAAGGGACTGAAGCAACAACCAACAAGTACATTTTCAGAACTCAACTAGCAAAAAAACCAGTTCAGTAATGGAAAAAAGCCCAAAACAAAAAACCAACACCAAAAAAAAAAAAAAAAAAAACAAACCAGCTATTCAAGATCTTCATTCAGATGTAAGAACCCTTGCTTCAAGCTGAAGTAAATAAATCCTTTAGTGCTGATAAATGCTGATTTGAGAGAATTCCTTGCTGAGAAGCCTTCTGTAACTTCAGCAGGTGTTTGTGCAAACCTCTCAGGACACCAGAGCAGTGGCAAAAATGTCTGCAGCCCCAAAACTTTCATCTTCAAGCAGCTGTGGCTCCAATATACCACCTTCAGATCTATCATAAATCATATCTGCCCCATGTTAACTTCTCCACAAGCACTATTATCTAACTGCTGACCTGGTTTTGAGCAACCACTTGGTAAGTTGAGCTTTTTTGGAAGATTTGAGAACATCAAAATATTTGCAGTAAAGCTTAAAACAAAAATCCTTAAAAGCACTTGTTTTCAACAGAGGTCTTTCACAAACTGACTTGGAAGTGAATTCAAAATCACAGAAAAAGTATTTTGGGAAGCAATAAGGAGCCACCAAGATACATGAAAGGAAGGTCTGACTGAACTTCCCCTAATGGTAACCCTGATCTTCACTGAGCTCTATGCAGATATAGCCCATCTTGTATGACACTTCCAAACAAGCTTTCTGTAGTATTAGCTCATGACATTGTGCACAGCAGTCATTTTGCTTAAGACCACAATGTAAATTTCAAAGCATATACATCTGCTAGGATTTGGGGCATGCAGAGAAGGTAAGATAAGAAGACTTCTAAAATAAAATGGGTAAGCAAGCTGACATTCTAAAACACCCTGATATTCCTTGGAAACTTAATTCAATTTTTGCTTCAAATGTTTCCAGTACTTGCCTCGTTTTTCAACAGATGCTTTCATTCAGGTTTAGAATGTTTGGAAATTGATGTATTTCCAAGCTATAGTTTGTGCCTTGGATTAAAACACACAGTAGTATCTTAATAGGAAAATTCTATTGAAATAGCAGGAAAGAAAGCATCAGGTCTTGACACTGCAGAATAAACTACTCATCATGAAATCATCACTTCAAAATAGTCTTACAGGAAAAAACAGTCAAGACTGGCTAAATATTAGTGCATATACAATTCTGCAGCAACTCTAAACAGCCAAAAAACTTCCTATAGACATGGGCTGTAACAGGTTTCCTCCATACACACCACTGTATGGATTATTTAAAAGGTGTAAGATCTGAGCAACTGAAGCTATTCAGTGGCCTGAAATACTGCATCTCCCCTCCAGAGCTTGAAGAATGCAAGCACTGAGCCTAGCCAAAAAAGGGGCAGGTTTTCAATTGTACATAAAGAAACCTGCACCAGACCACACAGGCAGTTGAAAGGCAAATCCAATAATACTTCTGGTCTAGATTAGCAAACTAATCCCAGCAGTGATTAACACAGAGAAACAGGTAAGATCTGATTAGCTAACTAGCAAACTTGCATCTCAGCCAAAACTCAGAACACTGTCTAGTCGTACCTAGAACTGAACTGATTATCAACCTTATCAGTAACTACACAGATTGCTTTACCCCCACAGCTCCACCAAAAATGTTATATTTTTAAAGAGGAAAATCCTTTAAGATATAAGGAAGTTGTTTCACAAAAGTACAAGGGAAGGACAGTTGCCATCATAGAGACTTTTACCCAAGTGGATATAAATCAGTCAGCATCAGACAGTTCCAGTATCTGACTGGTATTTTTATATAAAGCCTACTAATACTGGGGTACCACAAACTGTATGTTTTAGCCAACACTGTGTCCTATTCAGCTTTTCTTTTGCACGGTGCATCACATAAGGGACACTGGTGCACAACTCTGTCCCTTCCTTACAATTTTACTGCTGCTTTTGCAAACTGCCTCCTCGCCGCTGGTCATAACAGAACTATCACACAAGCCTTCCAAGCCTGCTATCTACTGAAGGCAGTAGGGTTACATTCACAAGCACAAAGTGTTCTCTGACCATAATGTTAGATTCAGTTTTACATTTTTAACTGTAGCACTCAACTCTGTTGACCAAGAAACTCCAAAGAAGTGAGTTCTGCTACATGCATTTGTATTACATACAAAGTATAGGCATGCACTGTTTTCTAGCTCTTGAATCAGCACCTCTAATGAGGAGGGAACTACAACTCTAAATAAAATTCTGGAGTAAAACACCTCTCCATTGAGCTAGAGCTGTAGTTGCCATATTAGAATACTACCTCTCAACTGCTTATTTGAAGCTTCTTTAGTCAATCCATTTATACAGGGGTTTGCTTGTTCTTATTTAGCTTCATAGAATTACTCAAACCAAGGGAAGTAAGATTACTCAGAAATCATTGCATGGGGGAAGACAGTGGTATCAACTTTTTCCTACCATGCCTACTTCATTCCTCATGGCGTCCTTGCTTTTCAAAATGCAGGCCATTTTTCTGTGGTCTCTGCTTTTAAACATCTTTCCAGAGCTCTCAGCATTCTGTATGCTTCAGAATATATTCTATATGCTTCAGAACTTGAAGAACTGGGTTTCACAGGCAGAACCTAAGTGGCATTAGGGTACAGCGCAAGCATCCTGCTGTCCTGCCAAAGGTGACAGACACAGGGCACAAGCACACCTACAACTACAAATTAGTACCGCTGATCTAGAAACACCCTTTCTGCAAGAGCTCCCTTCCCACACTGAGCAAAGCAAAATCTCACCCGTGTCATTTTAAAAAAGTCTAAGGATGGCCTGTTCCATCGTACATCCTCCTCCCGTCTGCGCTTCAGCCGGCTTTTCTTCTCGTTGAGCACGCAGGGCTGCGAGCGGCACCTGAGCAGGCCCTGCCGCCGGCTGAGCTCGGGCGTGGAGGTGGGAGTGCTGCTGGCTGAAGGCAAGAGGTTCCCCGTCTCAGTGATGTGCTCCTGCGAGAGGGACAGGCGGCGCCTCGGGTTAAAGTCACAAGGGCCTCCGGAGTTCCAGCGGGTGCTGGAGCTCGTGCTGCCCTCGCTGCTGTCCACAAACCCGCTGCTGGCAGAGGAAGGTCTGGGTACCGGAGAGGTGTTGAAGCTGGTGACAGTGAAGACGTTGTTTAGGGACAGGATGTTCTGCGGCAGGCTGATGCTTGTGCTTCTCTGCAAGGTGGCGCTTCCGTGGCTGTTGCAGCGCTGCAAGGTAGCGCTGCCGCCGCTGTTACAGCGTCTCTTGGACACGGGAGTCCACACCTTGGAGCCGCCGGGCTTCCAGGGGGAGCGGCAGCGCGCCAGCTCGTCGGGCTCCGACAGCGAGCGGCAGTGGCGCTTGGTGGGCGGCGCCAGCGGCTGGCCCGCGCTCTCGTTGAGGTTCAGCTCGCTGATCCAGCCCGACACCATGGCCGCGCTCGACGCCTCCTGCTGCCACGGCAGGCTGCCATGGCCCGCGGCGCCGGCGCTGAACGGGCACGCTGCGAAGGGGTACGCCGAGCTCCTGCTGCTGTCCGGCTGCACGGGGTAACCCCCATTTAAAGCTCTCCAAGGACTGTCTTCTGAAAGCAAGACAAGATACAGGTCAGAGGTGACAGGACAAAGAACCACTTGTGTTAAGCCTAGTTTAATGTAAAGCCATCGAAACCATCTTTAGAAGGATGAACCATAAATACTCAGCTCCTAATCAAAACTTCACACTATAAAAATAAGTAGAAAATTCAAAAACACAAAGACCAAAGTATTTAATCAGGAACCAATGAGGCATTCCAATATATACGTACCTTGCTAATACATTTTCCTTTACGCTGAATAACTACAATGGGTTTTTTTCAGTGAGCAACACAACAGTTGCCTACTGCACAGCACACACTACAGTTAAATCAGACTAGTGAACAAGCTCAGGTACAAACAAAACAGATTAACAACATAAGACGCTGTTGAGAACACAGATTCTTGCAAGAAGCCATCAGGGAACTTTTTATTTTTTTATGCAAGAGCTGGATAATCACTTCAAACTGCTGTTCTTCATTTAGCCCTTATGATTTTCTTATCAAAAACACCTTATTAAAGAAAAGTTCCAAAGGATGTTCACATTCACTGCTCTGAAAAGCTTTACTTTAAATTAAAACAGCATAACATTAAATCAGACTGAAGACCATTGCTTCCCCCCTTACATTCTGACTATAAGAAAAAACCCCAAATCTTAATTTAATGCAATGCATAAAATAAAGTATCCCTTAAGAACCTCCTGCAAGCCTTACTGTGAATGCAGACACAGTGCACAACTTCTCATCTCAAGTGGCAAGGCTGGGTTAAAAGCAGTCTGCCAGTGCAGCCTCTCGCTCTTTTGTGAAGCGTTTCTTTGAGAACATTCTGCACATTTTACAGCTGTTCCTCCACGTTATACAATGAAGTGTAAGAAGAACTACAGCAGACTTAGGATTTGCAAATTGAAAAGCAGCAAAACTGTTGGCCAGCTAACAGTGCTTCATGCTTGGTTAGAAAATTTGCTAATTTAAACCAATTAGCCAAATAAGTTTCACTTACCCTGGCTTTAAAGAAAGAACATTTAAAATACCCATTTTTTCCCATACATCTACTTTAAGAACCTAGATAGAGCCTAAACACTGAATACTAGTATATTCTTGTGCTTGATTTTCTAAACTAAGTTTTAGAGTAATAAACAGCTAAAAGACTTGCTGAGTAGCTTTAAAAGTTGCAAACCCAAATAGTTGTACATGTTCCATGCCCAAAGTATGTAATGGATTATCCTGTTTATTTGGATCTTATTTAAAGAACACCCTATTGTCTCAAAATCATTTAACTGTGCAGACAGCTGGCCTATTCAAACATGTTTTATTAGAATTCCTCTGTCCTTCCTCCTCCATTCTTTCAGATGGGCACAACCACATACTGTGCTTTGCCTTAAGCATGCAAGCTCTTCAAGGCAGGGACCATCCATAATTCAATGCAAGTAAAAGAGCCAACACAATGGGGTCCAGCTAATGTATGAAACTCCTAGCATCTACTGCAGGAGAATTTCCTAGCTGGAACTCACCTGATTTTTTTTTTAAATCCTTAGGAAGCTTTCTTCCAGGCTAGGAGACTTATTTAAAAGTTTAATGTAAAAATAAAAAAGTCAAGAATCTGTGTTTTAATTGTTTACACGGCAGAAGCACCTAATAATTTAGTCTGGAAAACAGCTCTAAGATCAGAGTCCAATCATTAACTTAAATCCACCAAGTCCACCATTAAACCATGTTCCAAGTACCACATCTACACGTATTTTAAGTACCTGCAGGGATGGTGACTCCACCACTGCCCTGGGCACCCAGTTTCCATACTTGACAACCCTTCCAGTGAAGAAATTTCTCCTGACATGGAATCTAGGCCTCCCCTGGTACAATTTGAGGCTGTTACCTCTTGTCCTGTCACCCGCTATTCAGGAGAAGCCTTTCCCTCATGCACAAGACAGGTCACCTTGTTAGAGAATATTGAGTTGGTCCAGCAGGACCTGCCTTTCTCAAAGCCCAGACTGACGGGCCTGTAGCTCCCAGATCTCCTCCAGGCCCTGCTGGCAGATGAGTGTCACATCTGGTGACCTCCAGGCACTGGGACCTCCCCAGAGAACCAGGAGTGCTGGTAAATGCCAGAGTGGCTCAGTGAGCCCATCCATGGCTCCCTCAGTCCTCCTGGGTGGGTCCCATCCAGCCCCACAGCCCTGTGTGGGTCTGAGTGATGCAGCAGATCCCTCACCATTTCCCCTTGAACTATGGGGGCTTCATTCTGCTCCCCATCCCTGTCTTCCAGCTCAAGGGGCTGAGCACCCAGAGAACAACTGCTCTTACTGTTAAAGGCTGTGGCAAAGAAGGCACTAAATACCTCAGCTTACATCATCCCTTGTCCCTATATCCTCCTTGCATCCAGTAAAGGATGGACATTTTCCTTAGCCCTCCTTCTGTTGCTGAAGCATTTAGAGAAACATTTTTAATTGTGTTTTATGGCAGTAGCCAGATCAGCTTCTTGTTGAACTCTGGCCCTTCTCATTGTCTCCCTGCATAACCTGACAACATCCTCATAGTCCTCCTGAGTTGCCTTCCTCTCCCTCCAAAGGTCACCTCTCCTGGCTTTTTTTCTTAGCCTTGAGCTCCAGCCAAAGCTCTCTATTCAAACAGGCCAACCATGTTCCCCACTGGCTCATCATTCACAGCCTGCTCCTGCACCTTTAACATTTCCTTCTTAAATCACATCCAGCCTTCCTGGACTCCTCTGCCATTCAGGCCTGCCTCCCAAGGGACTCTGCCCACCAGCCTCCTATTTCTGCCCTCCACAAGTCCCAGGTGGCAGCTCTCCTAATCCCTGCCTCCTCCTTTCTCCAAGGATCCAACCCCAGGCAGCTCCTGATCACCACCTCACCACCAGTCCTTCCCTGTTTGAAACCAGCAGGGTCTCTCCCCTGGCTGAGCTCACTCAGCAGCTGCATCAGGGAGTTTTCCTCCACAAAGTCTAGGAGCCTCCTGGACTGCTTCCTCCCTGCTGTATTGTATTTCCAGCACACATCTGCTAAGTTGAAGTCCCCCGTGACAACAAGGACCAGCAATTGTGAGGCTTCTCCCAGCTGCTTACAGAGTATTCTGTCTGCCTCTCTTCATCCTGGTTGGGTGGTCTGTGACAGACTCCCACCAGGATACCTGCCTACTTGGTAATGCTGTTTGGACAAAGCACCATTTGAAACTTCTCACAAACCAAGATTCACATTTTATGAGGAATCCCACTGAGCAAATAAAAGTCCTCCTTGCTCAGAGAAAACACAACATGCAAAATTTCAACTCCATGCCTTAATAAGGCAGTACAAAGCTCACATATCAATAACTGGAACTCTTCTTTTTGCTAGATGAAGCTTATTCTAACAGGACCAAGGGGAAATGAAAGCAAATAACACTTCTATGAGGGCACTGGACTTCACCTTCAGGTTTGCATCATGCTGGATGGTCTGTGTGGCAAACAATATAATAAGATGTGCAAAGATTTCTACTAGCTGAGGAACCTGAAGACGTTTAACATGAAAAACAGCATTAGTGTGCTTCTGCACACCAAGGCAGATATTGAACAAAAAAAAAGTGTTACACGGGCTTTTTACTATGCAAAGCAGATCACAAGTACAAAACTAACAACCAGCTATTCCCAGTATTGTTCAAAGACCAGCTTAAACCAGCAGGCTCTACAGCAGCATGCTCCATCCCCCTCACCTTATTTACAAAAGAAAGGCTGCTTGCTATACCAATTACCTCAGTAAAACACAGCTAAGGTTCCTGAAGAACTTACCATTGATTTCGAAAGGGAACAAGCTGCCACTTTTGTTCAGCTTCTCAGATGAGTACTGAAATCAATCAGAGAAAAATAAGTTTTAACTGTGGAAAGAGTCAGCATTCACTTCAAGGAAACTGCATGCAGATTTTAGTTTTCCTATATGTGCAGTTAACAATGCCTTTAAAAGATGGGGTTTTCCAATGTAACTTGAAGAAATTCCTGAACAGCTGACCTTTATAAATAAGCCTCTGGCATCTAATTATTTGTAATGTTTTCTGATATATTGCTAAGTATCAAACTGTTTCAAGAGTTACAACATTAGCCCATGCAAATAAACTGAAAAAATTAAGAGTGATAATTCATCCTTAATGAAAGAGCTTTGATCCAATTCTCATTTCAGCAGAGAGGAAATTACAATCTGGCAGTTGGGTTTCCATTTTCAATCTTAAGGCTAGAAGGCAAAACACTTCATCTTCAACTAAGGGACAGGAACAGCTTTCTCTAAATTAAATATACAAGGTCTTGAAGTTCACCACCACGAACACTGATCCAATCAGGCTTTATTAGTATTTTACATTTTCTTATAATCAATGCAGCGCATTTATTTTTTTTTACTTCTTCAAAGTAGAAAAGCCATTGAAAAATATCTTTTCTATCATCAAAACATCTTTAGCAGACTGACTGCTTTTTAAATCTCAGCTTATTGGTGGAAAATAACATAACAGGCATGCTTAAAACAAGCTCTGTGTGTAAAGGCCTTCAATTAAGCCTCATCAGTAGCATCTACACAGTAAGACAAATTTGTAGCTAATTTACCTAAAAAAGTATTACTACAAGGGCATTCTTAATGTTGTAGATTTCTCAGACAAAGCACAGACCTTGCAAATCCAGCATCCTATAAAGGAGCTATAAATAAGTGGCTCATAGCTCCATCAAGCCAGGGCTCATTATTCACTCCCCCACCACCACCTCAGGATGGAGAGGAAGATTGCTTTAAAAAACAGCAACACACTTGATGTGAACATTGTTCTTTGTGTATAGCCAGAGAAGATAGCATTGTACATACACTTCCTTTCCAGATACAAAGTCAATTTTTAAACAAACATCCTTGGGCTACAAAGCCTTTTCTTTTTGTTTTACTGTAGAGCAGCACATAGCACTAGTGACAACTTTATATCCTTGAGCCCCACAGAGACAAACACTGAGCTGTGGTAATATTCCCTTGGTGTTACTGTTTCACAGGTAGGAAATAACAGCACAGATTAAAGGATACGAGAGCAATGAGATTTTTAATCTTAGTTTTTTAATCAGCATCTGCACATGAGACAAAGCATTTCATTTTTACTTTGTAAATACATCTACAGATGCATTTATAACCTCTTTTTAAAGAAGCTACTCTGAGTAAACAGCAGAACCCCAAGTTTAAATCTCCATTGGATCTGCTGTTAATTACTCCAATTCAAACCATTTGAAGTCTGCAACTTGCCAGTTCCATAGAATTCACATTTAAAAAGCCAGTACCCATCGTTTACTTTAATCAGGTACCAGCTTCATATGAAACACTGGAGCACATTAAGGTAATAGTGGTTACATTTCAGCTGTCCCTAAAGGAAAAAGGGACAAATTAGAGACTTAAAGACAAGGTCTTCCATCAAATTCTTCCTTTCCATCATTCCCCTAATAAAAGGCAATACCAACCTATTCAACTATCAGACAGTAGCTACAGAAAACGTTTTCAAAACAAAATTTTGTGTCAAAAAGTCTTAGAGCTGATTTATCCTGAGCCAGATGAAAAGAGTAAGATGAGTTAATACGGGCATAACAGTTGGGGCTGTTTAAAAGACTATTTATTCACACAGGCCAAGATATTCAATACCCATAAGGAAAAGCACCTCAAGGACAATCCTACATGGCAGTTGATACTTAGTTTTTACAGTTTTCAGCAAAATGCATCTTTAAAAAGGTTCTCTTCACGAATGCCCAAGTTATTTGATTACCTGTACTTTTACCACCTTAAAAAGCCTTGTCCATCAGTGAGAGACTGAACTCCTTTATCTCTGACAACTGCAGAGCTCTGAAACCATTTGTCAGGGGGCCCATGGACAAAGCAGGATCACATGCACACAGACTATCTGTCCTCCAGAGAACTGCAGTGCTCTCTAACTCAGAGAGAGCAACCTTGTCCTGCCAGCTATTTCTGACCAGGCTCTGGAGAAGCCAGTGCTCACTTCCATGACAAAGCAGACACTTCTCCTCTGCCACTTGGGATCTCTTACACAGACTCCTCCTAAGTCACAAAAAAATTATTTGCTAATTCTTTGGAGATTCAGACCAAAAACTCTAAGAACACGACATGTGACATCACATGCCGAAAGGGAGAGTAAGCTGCACTATTTCCAGCAAAAGCTCAAGGCACTGAAATAAGGGCTGAGTGACTAAGAGGACAGTAAGTAACAAATCTCCTTTACAATATATGCTTGGCTCTCTATAACTGAAACAAAAATTCTTGGAAACAGTGTCTGCTGGTGTATTTTAACTACCTCTGGAAGCCTAAACTTGAGAAGACCCTGTCAGGCTGTAAATTTTTATAGGAGGGAGGATTTTCTTTATCTATACAGCACATGGCACAAGTCCCACTGGATATCACTGCAACAGGGCACTGAACCAGTTTATCAGCTCTCCTGGGCTGGCCACACTCTACCCTCCCCCAGACATTCCCTTTGTGCTAGGAGCTACCTGAAGCTTCCTCAATTAATACTTTATTTTGTGATTATGCCTGAAAAGTGCTTGCAATTGCTGAGAACCTTGACAGGGAAGTCTGGTACCCTCTGTGTGAAGGAAATTTTCCTTAGAATAAGGCCAAATTATTCAACAAGGTCACTTTCCTGAAGAGGAAACACATCCATCTTGCAACTACTGCTTTTTGAATAGATGTTAAAACATCCACAGAGATCTCAAGCCTCTGGAGAATTTATTAGGGAAATAATGGCACATTCTAAGATAAACACATAAAACAATGAAGCTACAAGTTTCACCTGAGGTTAAAATTGTTTGCTTCATGCCAAGAAGTGGATCTACTTTCAAATGCCTGTTCATAAATAGAATCTCTTTTGTGCAGCTGGACAGACCGTGTCCAAAAGGAAAGGAAAGGTGTGGTACGACATTTAGGACAGTGCTGCAAGTTTCAGTTGGTTTTCTGAATCTTAACAGCTGTTCTTTCATTAAAATACTCACTCAAAAAGACACCTAGTCTGAACCGAGTACGTGCAAGAGCTGTGCAAGTGAAGATGACAATGAATTATAATTTACATCACTAATTTTAAATGTTCTTTGCTAGCAGAAGCCAACTGTAACAAAAATAAATCTTGCTATTCTTCTACGCTCCAGTGTACTGCATTAAGGACTTCACAGCCTGTGCTATCCCTCCTCATTATACTCAGAATGACAACTTCATCTTCATACTTTTAAAATTAATGGCTTTAATTTCAAGGCTTTTTTTTTCCAGTTTCCAAGTACATTTGAGTTCCTCCAATTTATCAGTATCCTTTCCAAACCACAGGGAAGCCATTGTTTATCATTCAAATACTAATTTAACCACCACCATACAGGTGTGACTCAGTCTGAATAAGCCATGCCAGACCTCTGTTTCTCTACCAAATATCCTCCAAATATGACTGGATATGAAACAGTGAGGAGGAACACTTTGACCTTTTCTCAGGATGCAAAGAAGTGATTAAGTCAAGTAGTCTGACCAGTGGCTTTTCCTCTGAGGAAGAGAGTCTAATTCTACATCTTTTAACATAAATAAGACTCAAAATTTAAAAATAACAAAATCCTACATGCCTGCAAGGGGTTTTACTGTAAAACTAGTTCCTTTCACAAATCCTTGACTGGCAGTGCTCATGCTTCCTTACTACCACACCTTGAAGTCTTACAGCTGTCACTTCACAAACCAACATGAGATTCTATACAGCAATATGAAAAATATACAAGTTTAGTCAGAATACAGACAAATCCAAGACTTTTGAATTCTATAAAAGTTCTGAGAGTTCAAGGGACTAGAGACCAACTATCTGATTTAAGGCTGCTGTCAACTCATGAAAGTCACAATGTGCTCACAGAACTTCTCTTTTGCGAGGTAGAGTTGAGCAACCAGGGACACTACTTTGTGAGCTACAACATCCAAATTGAGGAAAAAAGCTTGGGACAGGCTCCCTGCTTCTACAGCAAGTCACTCAGTCATTTTCCTGAAGGCAGGTGCAGGACAAGGCTGTACAACATCACTGAGCATGCACAGGCTGAATTACACCAGCGTGGAAAATTAGCATGCCATTTGAGAGAGCAGTAAAAAGCTGCAGCCAGTACTTTACAACATAAAAGAGAGGTACTTGGTCACCACACAGCTTACACAAATGAAAAAGTGTACTCTGTCCTATGCATGTTGTCTTTGTGCCCAGTTCGGCTGCACAGTACATGGCTTTGAAAGAGCCATTCTTTCTTCTTTTATAACCCTCATTCATGAGCTGTATAACAGAATAGCTTTTCCCCAGCTATTTTATCTACTTGTGCCCAGACACTTGTGCAGATGCACAGTAAAAGGTATCACAAAACTGATAAGGTTTAACTACATTAACCCAGGCAAGAAAAGTTGGTCTTAATCCTCAATCAGCTCACAATGAGGTTCACCACATGGTGTCACAGAACTTTGTGCCAGCACAACTAACAAAAGGTGCAGCCAAGATCACTTCAGAATTGCTCCAAACTGCTGCTATTAGAAGAAATTACAGCATTAACCTGAACTTCTTGCCAAAAAGCCTAAATGTGCTAGCAGTGATACGAGACCATCACCAGCAGTCTTTTTCTCTTAGTGACATTTAGCAATTGCCTTCACCAGTGGAAAAAGCACACTTTTTTACCATCTTAGGTTCTCATTTTAGTCAGGAAGCCATTATTTGCTTCCATGAATCCTTTTTAGTAGGGAGCAACCTACTTGCACACTTTTATTCACACTTGCTTCTCTACTTCCACACCTCACTCTGCAATTTCCACACTTTTTCAGGGTGCCATTGTGTACAAACAGAACCTGTTCCTGTCCTCAGAACCTATTTTCTGTAAGAACTAAAGCACTTAGAAAACCAATTACTTGACAGATAAAAGGAGGAGAGGAACAGGAGAAGGCTGAGGACAAAGCAACTGATGAGACATCATGTGCCATTTTCCACTCTACTTGTTCTTTTTCATGCTTTATTATAAGTCCAGATAAGGAGAGGAATAAAAAACAACCAACCTACAACACATTACAGCCAACACACTCCTGTGCAGACTCCACACAGTGTAAAAGCAGTATTATGGCCTTCTCTGCTATTAGAGGTCTGTGGTCCAAAACTTTCAGTGACTTCTAGTAAAAAGACTGGAAATTGCAAGGTGCTGCAACATGTTTGTCACTAAACACTGCTACAGGCTGTAAGTCATTATTGGCTCACAATCAGGCCCCAGAGTTTAGTTACAAATGATGACTTTGCCAGTTCACAGACACAGCAGATTCGCCTACAAACTGCATGGCCCAAATGCTTCATCAAACCAGACAAAATAAATGCGAGCTAAGCATGCACTTCTGAGAGTGAACATAACTTCAACACCTTAAATCTGCCTTTCAAGAAAAGCACATATTTAAGGGGAAGGTGAAATTAAAGTAAAATCAATTGCTGGAAGAACTCTAAATGGACCTGCTACAGTTTTGAACATAAAACTGCTTGATTAATGTCTACTGTTACATATCCTTACTGGACAAGGAACTGCATATATGAGAATTGCAGGTGCTTGTGCACAAATTCCACCACATGCAAGGTATACTCCACCTGCTTTGGGCTCTTGAAATCAATAAGGAAGCAGTTCAGTTGTTTAAGTAAGTTACAACACAGAATCTAAAAGTAACTGACATACTTCAGGTCCAATATTTGATTATTTTAAAAAGTATCAAGACTGGAGTTGAGCAACACCTTGACATTTAGTTAAGTTCTCTTGTGTCCCACTGGAACATTGAAGTTTGACTTACAGAAGGGTGCCACTGTAACCAAAGTCAGTAAAACAAAATTAGTGCATTCCATACAGAACATGGTTTCAGGGTTCTCAGGTAGGCACCTAGAACTGACAAGAGACTTTTCTGCATTACTCACTCTGGAGTAGCTATTTCATTCACAAGGGAGAGGTGAAGAGAATAGATTCCTTCATGCCTAAATTGCGTGTCTGAGTCACACAATGCACCCAGGGATTAAACCAGCAAGAATAACACTATAAACTACAAAGTTTTTCAGAGCACCAGGCATCTGAGACACTGACAAAGCCAAGATCCACTCTACCAGGAACAACAACAGTCTGGTAGCAACCTGACTTTTGGTTTAACTGTATTTACTTGATGATCTGTTTTCCTTCTGCCCAGTGGTGACAGCTACCTACATGGCAGTCAAGGATTGTTATAAGTAAATACTCTTGTCAGATACAAAGCTATCAATCACCTGGTCAGTATGGAGTGAAGCACACATTTTTATGGGTTTACACACATTTCTATGGGTTGAAGTTTTCATTTTGCTAGCAAAAAAGGAATCCTGAGAAGCTTGGATAATCCTTTTCAGTCATTAGATGAGAACACTATTTCATGAAGAGACATGGCTTTTGCTATTTAAAATGAAGTAGCAAGGTTAAAAAGATCATTAAACTAAAAAAGCAGCACTTCAAAAATGGACTAAAGACCCACTTTTCCTTCCTATTACAACTCTCACCCGACCTTGCAAACCAGTTCTAACTCAAATAGCTGAATTCTGGCTGATCTGCATTGTTGAATAGGTTATGCAGTTGTGAGTTACTCAGCATTTCACATTTATTTCATGTTGTTTTGGTAGATCCTTACCAGATCAATATTGTATGCTTTACAGGTCAGATCATCCAAGCTCTGGTTCTGCAGCTTTTCTGTTATTAGTGTTACCATGGTAGTTGTTCCTTTTCCACTGCTCACTCAAGTGTTGGAGGCTCTTCAGTCTCTTCTTTCAATACTCATGAGCCATTTCTGTTTTGGTCTACAATCTTGAGATTTATGCTTTCATCTTACTGCCAAAGTTTATTTCCAAATGCTGTCAGTGTATCATGTCTGCTTTCCTGTAAAATTAGATTAGAAAAAAAGGAAAAAGTCAGAAAAATTCTTGCGTATATATTTAGTATTGTAATAACACAACTCTTATTTGGACTGTTCCCTCATGCAAATATATCACTTTGTGACCAGTGCTGATGGCCTGTCATTGCAGATTACACATCTCTACTCATGAAAGAATACTCCTATTTGAGATTTCACTGATTAAAATTTCAGAAAGGAGATGAGACTCATTAATGATGCAGATCAGAGTATACTGTTTGGCTGTTTCCTGCTTCTGCCTAGGAGTTGAACCCAAGGCAGAGGGAAAGCTTTCCCTCATGCAAACTACTGAAGCCTAGGCCAGGTATATTGGAACAGCACATGACACAGGCACTCACCCACCCAACTGTTCTGCATGTTTAACACTATTTGGCATGTTAAAGCATTCTACTGTATTCTTTCACCACTAATCCCCTCTTAAAAAGAAAAGTGAAGCAGTGGGTAACAAACACCATACACACGTCCCAAACCCTCAGCTACTTTTAATATCTTGCCCTGTGTTTTTCTCAGCTTTTTCTTTAAAGGTTACATAATTGTTACATGTCAGCAAACACCAGATCTGGTAACCAGGACAGATTCCCATACACACAAAAGTATCGCAGACAACAGCTTTGATATCTTTATTCTCTGAGCAGTCATCTAAATCAAAAGCACTGGGTTCATCAGCTCTCTCTTTTATCTTAAATACCCTCTACATATTTCCTCTCTCTAGTGGTCTGCATTAACCATTCTTGGTGATTTAAGCTGGCCAAGCATGTTCAGGGACCACTTATGGGATATGAAGTGGGACGAGATCTTCATAGAGGTATTTCCAAATTTAAACATGAGGCTTTGGGAAGGAACATTGATGCTACCAGGACTGTAAGTTTACTTACATTTCCTAGTTTTAATATCTACCATTTTAAAAAGGCAATAAATTATTTTCAAATAACATTTCCATAAAATATTGCCTCTTCTACACTACTAATTAGCTGTTTAAATAACCAGTAGTAGCAAGCAAAAAAAGCAACTTGAGGCTGTGAGTCAAGTTAAACCAACTTAAATCTAGGATATTAACATTAGTAATGGTGATGCTAGACTATCTTTTAAACCTGTTGCCTTTAAGTACATCCTCAAATATGCTTTTCATATGCTAACCATGCACTATTTCACCTTCACAGCAGTCTGCTACACACCAGCCTCCCTCAGCCTAAAAGTTATCCCATAAATGTAACTTCTGCCCAACTTTTGGCCTTGTTACTATATCTATCTACATCTTTTTTTGCTGTAAGATAGAATGCTTAGAAATGCTCTTCCACCACAAATGCTACCCAGATAGCTGGAAATTCAGCTGGTCTGTTTTTACTTCATGTGCCCTATCTTTCAGAAAGGCACACAACATGAAATATTTACATCTTGTTCTGAAATTACAGGTAAAATTTCTTAAAACCCTCGAGTTCACACACTCACTGGTAAAGGTGGCACTTACACTGTTCAAAATGAGCAGTCAAAGCAAAGTGTGGCTCATGAAATACTGAAGCCAAGTTTGAGGGCAAGCATGTGAACACAGCAGTATCTACAGCAGCACAATCAAACATTGCTGTGCCCCTTTTAAACCTGGTGGAGTCTAAAGTAAATCTGGAAATCCAGAACACAAGTCACAAGAAAGGCTGCCTGGAGGTCAGATGTTGTTCCTTGACAGGTTGAAAACATACTGAAGAGCTTCATAACTGGTGCAAAGACTTCCAGATCCATGTTCAGGATGAATGTCTCCATTAGTGAGAGGCTACTATTAAGAACCAGCTGAAAAGTTCAGCACATGTTTAGTTACTTCTATTAAGAAGGGCCATAGAAGAATTTGTGGGTTTTTATTTCCCTCAAGCAAAAAAATCAAAATCCAGTAAAGCTACTAAAGATGGGAGAAAAACTAATCTGTAATCAGTTAATCATATTTTGCTTAGTACTTCAAATCTTTAAATGTTTCAGTGCAATTTTCAGTCAATTTAATACAAGCTAAAATAAGGAGAGACTAGACAGAATGACATTAGACTTTAGTTAATGAACCAATTGAATCCAAGGATAAAGGGAAAGCAAATGAAATCACAGAAGCACAGCACTTTCAGAATCATGCTGAACGGTATTAGCCACATTCATAAATCCTACCAGCTACTGAAATTAGTATTTGGGCACTGCAACCATTCAGGCCCTTTCTGACATCATGGGACCCAATCAGCTGTGAAACACAGGCAATGTGGAAACCCCCCCAAAAGGTTTCAGTTTAGCAGCTCACACAATTTTTCAAATGGAGACATGCTCCACTGACAAAGTTTTATTTTTAAGCATGGGGCAGGGACAAAAAGGTGCTAATAGCCTGAAAAGCTTTCATCTATCTGCTCCCACTTTCTCCTGCTCCCCATCACAAGTAAATTCCATTTCTCAAAATGAAGCACAAGTCTGACAGCAGGGCTTGTAGTTCACATCAGAAGCACACTTCACAAGTGAATTCCCTTCTCACCCTTCTTAAACATGCTTGATCAGCACATTGGTATTAACTGTTTTACACCAAAAATCTGTTCTTACTGGGCACTCCTTGTTAAGGGTGACACAACAAATGTTTCAAGTGGTCAAAATGTCACCAACACACTCCTAGCAGAGCAATGTCACCATCACACTCCTACCACTGAAAGCCATTCTAGGTTGCAGTTGGATGTGCCTCAGCTGCCAACACATTCTCTTCCCTGGTTATTTGTGGCCCACAGCACAGTGCCAGCACAAGTGTTTCTGCTCATCACAGAGAACTAGATCAAGGAATTGTTATAGCTGGATGAAACCAAAACACTTCCTTTTGTTACTGGGAAATGCTGTTTTCCAGCTGGATCAGCTCCCCAGCGTGGTTTGCCATGAACTGGACACAAACATTTGTGTGGGAGCATTGTGGGATGCTGACACTGCCTGTCCAAGTACCTGCCCAACCACAGTGTCAGAAAGAAAAGAAATCCCCCACAAAACAAAGCCAGTTGACATCAGCATTTCCTACACTGAGGCACACAGATTCTTCTTTAATTAGAAACTAGATACCTCCTCCTGAAGCGTGGTTTGAACGTGTTTTGCTCCCATCTTCCTTTCCCAATCTGTACTCCTTTGACTGGTCAAACTTTCCAGCTCAAAGGGGTCTGAAATCCTCCCTGCAGCCTCAGCACCTTCACTCAGTGACAAACTCCTGGCTCACTCTGGTTGAGCCATGTATTCTCTACAAGGAATGGTTTCCCTCATCTTTGCTAATTAATATTGGCTGCCAGGAGACAAGAGATTCATCAGAATGACTTATCTGTGGTCATTTTAAATCTCTGTTTTTATGTATTTATAAGCTTTTTGTCCCTCAGTACCTCCTAGAGGGAAATTCCTCACTTAATTTTCCTATTTTTGAGGGTTTAGTTTATTTATTTCAAGACTCTCTGCTATGGTATGTGTTTAATGGATCTACAGAGAGAGTAGAGCAAGAGGTTTACTTTATGCACTTTTTCCACCATGCTATTTTTCTAGAGCTGCTTAGAGGCAGCCAACTTTATTTTTCAGTCTCTCCTTATGATACTCTTTATCTTATCAGGCTGAATCCCTCTCAAACTGCTCAGCACCTCACACTCATTGGATTCTCAGTGACCATCCCTGTTAGGGCAATGAGGATGCTGCTGGGTTGACATGTTTTCAGCTGCCCCATGGCAGAGATCCTGGAAGTACAGCCCACAGGTGACACACGGCTGCCAGCTCAAACAGGAACACCCTCCAAGCCTTGAGCTGGCCACAGCAGGCCTCACAGCTCCAAGGTGGATGGAGTCCTGCAGAACTGTGGCCATCTTTCCCCGAGCACTCCATCCTTTGTGGAGCCTCATTAGGTAGGATAGTGAGCAAGCCGAGACCTCCAAGATAAACACACACAACAAAAGATGTTACTCAGTCTCTGTCCTGGGAGAGCCTTAATCTTCCTACAATCTCCTTGAGCTGGGGAGGAAGGGAAGATTTTTTTGTTGCTGTTGAAAGGCAGACTAATCAAAAGGAATAAATGGAATATAAAAATCAAACTCCAAACGCAAGCCAAAGCTAACATTCCTCAAAGCTGGAGAATGAGATGTGATGGAAGCAGTATCACCACTGTCTCTGATTTAAAGTTCTTTTCTATTCATTCTGAAGGCTGAGAAAGGTGGAGATTCATTATTATATCTCTATAGTACTACTAAAGGAGAGAGGGTTTATTTCTTTAAACTCGTAATAACTTGTAAAATCTCTGCCAAAATTAACAGTGGAGATAGAACAGAAGTGCTCGTGTCACAAATTCTGTATCTTCTCAGTGACATCACTAGTGTCTTTTTTGGGGAAGACTACTAAAAATACAGATTATCCAACCTCCCAGTCAATTAAAGCATGTCAGAAGCTCATTCAGTTTGACAAGCTACTTTCAAAGAGATGAAGAGTCCTGATGAAGAACACAAAGCCAACAAAAAAAAAAAATCTCCCCTTGGCTCTAAGAAAGTAAGGCAGCCAGACTCATTTCCAACCCACTCCTCCTCTGCATCCTGCAGGACAAAATGTTCCAGCAACAGCTCATCTCAATGGGAAAATTTACATTTGTTTGAAACACTTCTAACAATTTCTTCTCTGTATCTGGAAGTTCTATCTTGGATAAAGAAGAAGAGATGACAAGATTTTTAGATGATTTCCCCATAACACAAATGTAGGTGTTTCTTGGTGATCACTGTTCCATTCTTTTTCTGCCCATGGTATTAAAATGACCTGTGAGAACACAGGGTTGCTCCCTCTGTGACTTCACATTATTTCCCACTCTTCATTCTGAGTGCTGCATGGAACCTTTATTACCAACAATCCCATACATGCACTTAGCTTGCTCCCAGCAGAAGAAAAGGATTAGCTGGAGTCAAAATTCCAACTCGGATAAGCAGGTCCTTTACAATATTATCTCTGCTTCAGCAAG